ACCCCTCTCTAATCTTTTTTATCCAACGGTCCAGATTCGATCTTATCTTGAAATCGACGGCCCAGATCGAATCTCATCCAAAATATCCAAGGGCAATCTTGTAATTTCTCAAAAAGTTCAAGGGCAAAATTGTCTTTTCCAAATTTGAGGGCAAAATTACCAAAATGCCCTTGCCCTTTATAACTAGCCCTTTAGAAATCCTTAGGGGTAAAATGGTCACTTTCTCTTTTCTTGCCCAAATTGAATTTTTCTGAAGGATTCGGGCACACCTAAAAATCGCACGTTACACCCGCAACGTAGTCCTAACGTTCTGCCGTGACTTCCTAATTTTCCGATGCCCAATTTGGTCTAAATTTAATAATTAAATTCTATATAATGTAACTCGTGCATATCTTTGACTAACGGGCGGTTTTCCGGGAAATTCGCAGAATCGACCCGTGATTGATACTAAATCGAGTCACATGCAATTTATTCTGACCGTAACGACTTCGGTTGTCAATAAAATCGCGAGGATCGATCACTAGTTCCGATGAGTACGATCGTTTGGAATAGGTTCTGGATCGTTCGTCAATTCATTTCGGGGTCAAACGGAATCACCCATGATCCACGTGTATGACAATAACGAATCGGCCCATCACTATCCTAAGATCGGCCTATACTGGCTCAAAATGTCACCTCGACGATTTTATGGTCGAAAGTCAGTTCGCGATCGAATTCCTCTAGTCGTACGAATTTAAATCCCCCATTAGCCTTTCCCTAATGGTCAGTATTCCAGGAATGATCAGTTCCGGGCGAGACTGCCTACAAGTACATTAATAAAATCGGCTATTTCATAATTCCCAAATTGGCGAAATTTTGGAATGTCACATTTACACCTCCGGATCTAGCTAGATTTTACTTTCCTACTTAGCTCCCCCACCATGTGCTTCCTCCATGTCATCCATATCTGTTAGAATAAAGAAACTCATGCAGAAATCGGCTAACATTTTGATGCACAACAAGAGAATTACACTAGAATGTAGGTTGATTCACCAGCGCGTAATGGCGAATCTACAACTCCACAATGGTCCAAATATAATTACAAGGAATATATTCTTATTCTACAACGTAAATGCCGATCGCCTTCTCAAAGTAACAATGAAAACCTTTTGTATGTTTTCTTATCGAGAGAGAGGGGAAGAGAATAAAAAATTAACGTCCTTTTTTTCTGTACGTTTTTTATTTTATTTTTTGGAGACGGTGGAAGTTATCAAAAGATAATCGCTCCCACCTCTCGAACAGTGCCTCTCAAACACACCCCATCATGGGCGAGCACACCCCTTCATTGGCGAACTGCTGAAATATAACATTATCAAATACCAATAAGTTCGTTTAATCCACACCAATACCGATCAAAATCTGAAGGTCTTGCCGGAGTTGGCGCATTCACATCACTCATGCACTTGCCGACGACTTTGAGGAGGTCAGCTCATCAACCACGGGGAATGACCAAGGGCATGGGGTTTTGGATGGGTGTGAGCAGAGAGCAGCGACAACGAGGGAAGATCAGGGATTTCGAGCAAAGGAAGAAATGTGCACAGGTCAAGGAAGGATCTGGAAGGAGTTGTCGTGGACTTAAAAGATAAAAATTCTAGACCTGGGCATGTTTGATATATTTTGGTCTCTTCATCCAAATAAAGAGATCCATATGCTTTCGTGTTCAGAAAAGGAGTAGACCGCAAGTCAAATGTTAAAAAGAAGGTGGACAAATGTAAAGTCTCAATCGCGTAGCGGAAAAGGGTAAAAAGCAAAGCAAAGGCAGAATGTATTCCATACCACTTTTCTTAAAGTTTTAATTTTAGCTTGTTTCTTTTGCATATTGAGTTTCGAATAAGCTCCTTTCATGGATTATCTCACTTCTAGGACTCTAAAAAATGCTAAGTCCAATTCTTTAAAAATCTTAAACTTTGACAAGTTGTCTAAAGTCACATCAAATCCTCATTTGCTCTATTTACCTGCCGTTATTCATGTATGCCGGCATATCGAGTATTTACCGATCACCTTAGACGAGACTGTGATGGAAGGTGCTTTGTAACCCCTAGTACAAATTGGGGAATTAGTAATACGAAAAAAAAATTTGGAGAGTTGGTGTCACACTAGGCAAAGTATAGGCTTTTCTATGAAATTTTTACAAGCAAAGTCAAATCCATGTCAATTTTTTAAGCTCGTTGTTGTCCAAGCAAGCCACCGAGTCGGATTTTCAACGTCCGTCTTGGACCAAACATTGATGAAATTTATTTTTTGATTACCATTCAAGTTATAGATTTTGACGACATAAAAACAGTTTGGATAAATTGGTATTAAAGTGGATATATAGGTTAGGATTTTTTAGGGAACCGCCACTCATTGTCGTCAAATTACCGCCCACCCATCGCCATTAGGAGCCCTCACCTTCATGGTCAATCCATCGGCAAGTTAACTCCTCACCTGCTCGAGTCGTCTTCTACGCCTTTGTCTCTTTTTCTTTCCGCGCAGAGCTCATAACCAATGTCCATGGAATTTGCGACTGACGGAGGTCGCCAGCCTCGCACAGCCACAGATCTGTGGTTGGATGGCCGTGGCGTTGAGGCCAATTAATAAGAAAAAATGCTAAATCAATCCGGGCTCACGTATATAAATGAGGTGGTCTTTATGCATTAGTGCATGAGTTTGGTTCATATGCATCACTGCCCAGGCGACACTTGCTAGATGAATAAAGAGGAAGTAAGGTGCCATTTGTTTAGTAAAAAATAAATGAGTTAGAAAATAATTTCCTAAAAATTATTGATTATATCGGTTGAAATAATTAGTTAATGCTAAATGTTTTCATTCTCGACAACTATTTATATCTAAATATTCTTGTAGACGATGTAAATATATTTTGTTCATTTATTTTTATAAGCGATACAAACGATTATTTTTTAAAAAATAATTTTTAAATTATTTATTTTTTGTGAAATAAATAGACTCTAAGAGGTTCGTAATTCAGTCCATACTATGGGTGATCGTGTGACATCTTGAAAATTGTTCATTTGGGATTTATGAAATGCTTGGTTTTATAAACGTACTCGTAGTTAGTTCTCGCCCGGAACTGATTATTCTTAGGATACTAATCATTAGGGAAATGCTAATTAGGGATTTAAATTCGTGCGACTAAAGAAAATTCGATCGTGAATTGATTTTCGATCATAAAATCGCCGATGTGACATTTTGAACCACTGTTGGCCGATCCAAGGATAGCCAGGGGTCAATTCGCCACTGTCATAGTAGTGGATCGCGGGTGATTCCGCTGGACCACGAAATGAATTGACAAATGATCCTAAACCTATACCAAACGATCGTGTCCCTCGGATCTAGCGATCCATCCTCGCGATTAAGTGCAACCGAAGTCGTCACGGACCGAATGAACTTGCACGTGACTCGATTTATTATCAGTCACGGGTCAAATATGCGAATTTCCCCAAAAGCCACCCGTTAGTTTGAGAAACGCTCGAGTTACGTTTAATAAAATTTAATTATTTATTTGAGCCCAAAATTGGACATCGGAAAAATTAGGAAGTCACAACGGGATGTTAGGACGATGTTGTAGTTGGAACGTGCAGCTTTGGATTTTCTCGAATCCTTCAGAAAAATTCAATTTTGGTGAGAAATGAGGAAATTGACTGTTTTACCCCTAGGAATTTGTTAAGGGCAAGTTTTAAGAGGGAAGGGCATTTTGGTCATTTTGCCCTAATTTTTGAGTTGGACAGGTTTGCCCATGGAATTTTATGAAATTCCCAAATTGCCCTTGGATATTTTTGGGAAAGATTCGATCCAGGCTGTCGATCTCAAGATAAGATCAAATCTCGGCCGTTGATTAAAAAGATTAGAGAGGGGCAAGATGGTAATTTGCCACATTTGGTCAAAATTGGACTATTTTAGTCCAAATCACTCTCTCACTCTCCTCATTCTCTCTCTCTCTAACTCTCGGCTCCCTCTCTCTTCCTCTCCCTCACCGTCGACCACCCCTCCCCCCGCCGAGCCACGCCGCCGTCCCCGCCGATCGCCGCCGCTTTCCGCTCTAGCCGAGTTAGTCTAGAGTTTGGTAAGTCGCGCTCTAAACCTTATTTAGGACATCGGGTATCGACGAACAAATTTGAGGTGTGATCGAGTTGATTTAGGCACGGATTTGTATGATTTTAGGAGCGGAATCGATTAGTGGGCCTTAGGATTGAAATCGGAAGATTTTGGGTGGATTTTAGAGGCCGATCGATGGCTGGAAATTGCTAGTTTGAGTGCTGTGATGTGCTGTTTGGGATGTGGTTAGTGCCATTAGATCCGGCTAGGAATTTCGTGAAAATATCGTGAAGGGCTGGGATTGATTTGACGTAGTTTGGATGTGAAAAAATGGCAATTTGTATGTGAATTATGTGTTTGTAACGTAACCGTGATTGTGGTCCGGTGAGTGGCCATGTATGTTGTTGAGTGGTGGATTGAATGACGGGATTTTTGTATTGTTATGTGCACGCGTGGGCTGAATTGAACTAATTATCAATTGGCCGTGTTGAATGCTTAATGAGCATGAGAAAGTGTGTGAATGGGTGCGTGCACGGGCCACGTATGATTGGCCAATTTATTGACAAGTGGGTATTGGGTATGCGCATGAGCGAGAAATTGTGTGTGGTGTGGTATGTGTAATTGTGGAAATCCCTGAGGCGTGTACTGTAACGCGGAGAATTGTGCTGTCCTGAGGCGTGTATTTCAATGCGGGACGATGCCCGGTATTATCGGAAGACTGCCAACCTGAGGCGTGTACTTCAACGCGGGTTGTGCCGTAGGTGGTAGGTGTTGAGCCTGAGGCGTGTACTGTAACGCGGGCCCTGAAGTGTTGTTATGAGTTGGTTGCAGTGGACCTGAAGCGTGTACTGTAACGCGGGTCACTGGCGAGAGTTGTGGAAAAGATGTGATGAGGTTGGAACAAATGCACGAAATATAATTATAACATGCATGTGAGTGAAATAGTGCTGTTATGCCTAACGTACAGGTTGCACGCTGGAAATGCCCAGGTAAGCAGAATTGCGTGTCTGCGATATGATGGTTGAATGTGATTGTGTGTTGTGATTGTCTGAAGGTACGTGCTAGCCTAGGTGGGGTTTAGGGATATACTTACTGAGATGTAATCTCATGATTGTTTCAACCAATATTTTTCAGAACCCCGGCTTGAGCCATGAATCCTCCGCCACCGCCACCTGAGTGTTTTGGAGTACCGATGCACACCGAACATAATGTTGTAGAGTTTCCGATAGATGACCATATGACCTGGATTAAGCACACAACCGTAGTCTTTGTAAATATAGGATTACCCCTATGGCAGGCCCATACATATACCGCGTGGTTCTTCCGAGACGAGGTAGATGAGTTCGGTCCCGTCCGAGGATTTGACGTCCCCTTTGATGGAGTTGGGGACTAGGACCCGTCTGCTATACCTCCTCTTAATGGTGAGTTGACTAGTGTGGAGACTAGTCTGGCGTAGTCTGAACTGCAGCCAGCGCCTGCAGCACCGGGGTCTTCAGGGGCTGAGCACGAGCCGGAGCCGGAGGAGTCTCTAGCGGGAGACAATCCAATGGACGTGGATCTTGAAGCGATCCCTGAGGAAGAACCAGAGGAGGAAGAACCCGAGGCTGAACCTAAGGATGAGCCTGCTGAGTCCGCAGAGCCTGAAGAAGAGCCGGAGTATATACTCCCGTATGAACAGTGGATGGACCCCGAGTTCGTACCTGAGGATGATTTCCTTGAGGAGCCGGTCGAGGAGGAGCAGGACGAGGTTCCAGCTGAGTCGGGTGATATAAACCACCTCATCGAGATTGAGGCCGAGCCGGAGTCCTCGGAGAAACAGACTGTCCAGGGAGACTCAGATTCAGATGACGAGGAGTCTGACTCAGAGTGGACGCCAAGAAGAGAGCGTAGGGGGCTAGATTCGGGGATGGGATCAGACTTTTTAGAGAGTATCATTTTTTAGGATAGAATACCCAGGTCATCGATCGTTTTGAATCTCGAGGGTTTGTAGTATGGTGTGCTTATGTGTATGGCGGTTTGTAAATTATGAATATTATATAAGTTTGAATGAGAAATGAATATGTGCATTCTCCCTGATGAGCCCAGTTTATTATTGTCCGCGTATTTGAGGTTTCCGCTGATCGTTTTAAATCTCTGATAAGTAAATTGGGTCGGCGATACCCTGGGACATTGCATAAATCGACCAGAGTGGTGTGTCGCGCGCTCGATGGGGTTCGGGGCGTGACAGATCGGTTCCCGATCCGGTCTGATTCCAAAGTTCCACCTTAGAACCGGACCAGGAGGATCGGTTCCCAAAATTGGAAACTGAGGACCAGACATCGGTGGTCCAGTCCGGTCCAATGGAACCGATGACTTTTTCTTTCCCACCACTTGATACCATCTTTTCATATTGAATTAAGTTATATGTATGTAATGATCCTCAAATACAAAAGACGAATAAAAAACGTGCTTCATTTAATGTTTAGTTCACATTTTACTAATTTTTTTGAAGAAATAAAAAAAAAGTATGTGTAGTCGATCCGGTCCGATTCCCTTTGAAACCGGGAACCGGACTGCCCAGATACCGATTCCACTTTTAGGAATAAGGAATTGGACCGACACTCCCGGGAACAGGACCATACCGGTTGATCCAGGCGGTTCCCAATTTTGGTGGTGTGACATTCTGAATTTCGACCCACTTTCGGGATTTATGAAATGATATTATCATCAATGCACTTTCTGTTATATCTCACTCGGAATTGGCCATTCTTGAGAATACTAACCGTTAGGGAATGGCTAGTTAGGATTTCGATATGCACGACCCAAGAACTCGAACTTGGATCGACACTTCGACCATAAGGATTGACGAGGGGATATTTTGGGCCATTATAGGCCGATCCAAGAATGATTATGGAACAATTTAACAATGTTATACAATTGAGTCACGGGTGATTCCGTTTAATCGTTGTATGCATTCCGAACGTTCCAAAATCAATTTATAACGATCGTGTCATTCGGAACTAGTGATTGACCCTTGTAATTACATGACAACCGAAGTCACCATGGCTCGAATAAACTTAAACGTGGATTGATATCAAATCAACCACAGGTCGACACGCGTAAACCCTAAAAGCCGCCCGTTAGTTTGAGATACACGAAAGTCGCGTTTGATTGATTTTGGCCACGAATTGAAATCCGAACTTGGGTATCGAACTTTCAAGGATATCAAAATTATTATATTGGACGACGCCGCGTTAAGCTCGCTTTATTATCGGTTTGCTTAGAAATTCTCGAAAAAGTGAAAATTGGCTCGAAAATTGGAAAAGACGATTTTACCCCTGTGTGTTCTAGAGTTTATTTGTTGAGTGGAAGGACATGTTGGTCTTTTTCCCCTAGTGACCGAAAATCCTCTTGGACAACTTTGCCCTTGCCCTTTTTGGTTATTTACATAATTGCCCTTCTAGAAGCCTTTTGTCAAGATGTATTCCTAGCCCTTAGATCAATACTTGGGCATCAAGGACTCATCCTAGCCCTCTATTTTGAGAGATATGTTCAGCTCTCTCTCTCTCTCTCTCCTCACTTTTTCCTTGCTCTCTCTCTTCATTTTTCTCTCTCTCTCTCTCTTCCTCTCCCTTGGCCGAGACACCACCACCACCGTCCACCACCTACCAGCACCTCACGCCACCATCCTGGACCGCCGTGGACCACCGTGAGCCACTCCCAAGCCACCGTTCACACCCGGAGCAGCCACTGTTCGCCGGATCGCCATTTGGGCCGCCGCCATTCGCCGGAGCTCTTGGCTTGGCCAGGACTGGTGCTACTGGTTTTGGCTTGGTTCTTAGCTTAAATTAGTGGTAAGTAACTCCCTAAACCTTTATTAGGTTAGTAGGTTACCAATGGATAGTATTTAGGGGTTGTTAGGGTAATTTAGGGGTTAATTTAGGGGTTATGGTAGATGCTGAATTAAGGATTTGTTGGTGGTTGGATTTGATGATTATATGGCTGATTTGAATGTTAAGATAGGTAGATTATGTGACTTGAGCTTGAGCATATGTTTAATGTTGCTAATTGTGCTTAATTTGGCTAATTATGATTGTTTATTGGTTGTTTTAATTAAATTCGTGGGTTAGTCTTGTGGCTGCAATAATCATGTGGTAGTAGCTGAATTGGATGATTTGGACATTGATCATATGGCCCCCATTGATTCTAGATTGGTTAATGTTAATTTTAGGGCTTAATTAACATGATTATGTGCTAATTTTGATCATACGGTTTAGATTACAACAGGATGTGAGAAAAGTTAATCATATGGCTTATTAGAGATTTGAAGTTGATCGTGTGGCTTTGATTGACAATCGCATGGCTAATTAGTCGATTATGTGCCGATTAAAGGTTTAATGATGATCGTGTGGTAGATTAGTTGTTTAATGCAGATCGTATGGTTAAATTGTTTAATCGTATGGTTAATATATTTAATCCTGGCTGAGTAGTTGACTATGGCTTGATCGTGTGGTTGAAATTGATGTTTCATAGTTGATCTTGCACTTGATGAATAATTGTAGGATTTTAAAAGTGGATCATGTGGTTAATTATGGCTATTATTGGCTAAGCATGGCATATCGTGATTATATATTGATGTTTGATACGAAAACGAGTGCGATTCATGACATATTTATTCGTAGTAAATTGCACGTCATGTCACGCCCCGCACCCTACGAGCGCGCGGTCATCCCTCGATGGTCGATCATTGAACGCGACGTCCCAGGACGCGTCGCCGACCCAAACGAAACACTAAACAATAAAAGCAAGCGGAAGCGAAACTAATTAACCCAGACAATAAACAACGACAAAGGGGTAGTGCGAAACAATAATTGCATACCATCATAAAATAGCCACTATACAAAACGATAACTCGGGCTACCAATTTAGAACCACAGTTTTCAAAAGGGGGCGGTGGTTGACAAACTTATCTCCTCTACAAAAGGTACTCAAAAGACAGGGTAAATGATCTATTCTTCAATCCCTGTGGTGCTCTGGCGGCGTCTCCAAATCGATTACGGTCGCGGATCTGAAATGGTTATATAATAACCGTGAGAACGAGTCTCAATAAGCAACCCCCTAAACCCCACGTAGGCCAATGCGTACCCAGACAAGTCATACATGCAATCTACCCCATAACATATAAAATTCACATAATTGTACTTACCTCGTCATCAAGTCCATGCCAACTCTACACGTTAGTTGTCACGTGATAAGGCAATAATATTAATTAAATAGCACATCACAAATCGCTCAAACACCAACCACACTTTCACTCAATCACTCCAACTAATTCAACCAGTCAATTCAATCACACTCAATCCGCATGCGTGGCCGAGCAACTTTCTCACGACCTCCCGTGTCCTTTCACACGGCCCGCGTCAACACGCCTCAGCCGCCCTCGGGATCAAGCCGGGCTCGGCCCCGCGTAACCACGCCTCAGGACATTTCTCTCGACCCGCGTAACCACGCCTCAGTCCTTACTTGCCTTTCTAGCCACACCCGCGTAACCACGCCTCAGGTCCTTACTTGCCTTTCTAGCCACACCCGCGTAACCACGCCTCAGGTTGGCAGCCCTCAGATCAAGCCGGGCTCAGTCCCGCGTAACCACGCCTCAGGACATTTCTCTCGACCCGCGTAACCACGCCTCAGGTCCTTACTTGCCTTTCTAGCCACACCCGCGTAACCACGTCTCAGGTTGGCAGCCCTCAGATCAAGCCGGGCTCAGTCCCTCACTGGACATTTCACACTTTCCCACGACCCGCGCTACTGCGCCTCAGGTCAGCCCTCAGATCAAGCCGGGCTTTTCTCATGCACATGCACCACAATACAAAATTCACCATGCTCTTAGTCATATAAATCAATTTCAATCACCACCCTTTCACCAATGTCAATCTAGCACGCCACATCAGTCAACTCAATTCATGCTCCCCACATCAGTCCACCGACCCGACATTCATGTCGGCACATTCAATTAATTCAATTCACCCACAAGCGCCACAACCATTCAGTCAGGCATATCTATCTCAGTCAATTACTAAATTAGCCGCACAACCATCGCCACAATAATTCACCAATTAAACACAATCAGTCTAATTAGCCCATACCTAATTAAATTCCTAAGCCGGTACTAAATTTCACCCTAAACAAGTCTAAAAATACCCAAAGTACTAGGTAGGATTTAGGAAGTCACTTACTTGGTTTTGGCCCGGAGAAAATCGGCTCGGGCCTAAAATGGCCCGGGTGAACAGTGCCGAACTAGGCGCGGGCACGGGCCAACGGGCGCGGTGGCAGGCCAAGGCGGGCACAATGGCCGATCGGCGTGCCGCGCGCGGCGCGATGGCCGAACGGCGTGCCAAGGGGCGCACGGGCGAACGGACGGGCGACGCGCCTAGTCGGATGGGCAACGCGCCTAGTCGGATGGGCACGGCGCGGCGAGCTCGGCCACGGCTCGGCCACGGGCAGCCCTCGGCCACGGGCACACGCACGGGCACGGGCGCGCGGAACGGGCACGGCGACGGGCGCGCGGCTTGGTCGCGTGGGCGACGAGCCGGCTACGGCCTACGGGCTAGGCAGGCGGGTCGGCGGCGACCGGCGGCGGCGCGGCGGCGGCGGCGGCGACGGGCGCGGCGGCACAGCGGCGGCGACGAGCTGAACAGGGAGAAAGAGAGTGAGCCGGGGTGAGGTGAGGTGAGGAGAGAGAGAGGGATCGGGGCGGGGAGAGATGGCGGACCGGCGGTGAGCC